CCAAACTTCATAATAGTCCATCGTTCTTACCTGTGTTGGGAGCATGCGCTGACAAACTTTGAGCTTTTATAAAATAACGAAGGTCTGGGGTTCACGGGCTCTTGTATAATTATCCCTTTATATTAAAATGTTATGTAAAGAATCATCAGATAATATTAATGTTAAGGTTTAAGACAGAAATTGAAGTATTTAACATAAATCACTTAAACAAACAGAAGTTTTCTGTCTAAAAAAACAAGAACTGTAAGCTAAAGGATCACTACCTTTTCCGCCTATGGCCGAGATTGAAATGAAATCCTGTGACGTGGTTAAAATAAATATACATGTTTCACTAGTAACAACTTCTTTATTGATGTGCCTTTGGAAAACATACAGCATTGTATTATGAAGAAGCAGTGTGTACTTAGCTTAAATTCCTTGTCTATGTCCAACCATGGACAGTCAATTTAGTTCCATCTTTAGCCGCTAGGTGCTGCCAGCAAGTATAAAGGAAGCGCAGCCATCTTTGATCTTCATAGCGTTGTGTACTTTCGTACTGTGAAGTCGCAAATCCACAAATATTTATTCGACTTCTTATTAATTGCAAAAAATATTTATTTTGTGTTTCTATGAGTGTTATTTTGCAATCATTACGAGTATTNATACAATGCTGTATGTTTTCCAAAGGCACATCAATATTACGGTTTTACATAACAATAAAACCGATATTATGTGCCGAGAAGGAAAACATACAGCATTGCAGGAAGTTCTTCCTGGTGAAGACTATGAAGATCAAAGATGGCTGCGCTTCCTTTATACTTGCTGGCAGCACCTAGCGGCTAAAGATGGAACTAAATTGACTGTCCATGGTTGGACATAGACAAGGAATTTAAGCTAAGTACACACTGCTTCTTCATAATACAATGCTGTATGTTTTCCTTCTCGGCACATAATATCGGTTTTATTGTTATGTAAAACCGTAATATTATTTTTCAGGCATATCGGCTAGTCACCATGAGTCATTCGTACAGCAGAGTAGACAACAGATTGATGTCATCAATGCCCCAACCACAACCCCAATCAGCCTCCTAGTTCAATCACTCGTTAAACAATTGTGTTCATTGTTACAAAAAGACAGTATTGTAGCCAATCAGCTTTACAACAAAATATGTGAGAAACTTCATAGTATGAACTTGATTGACAATTCGTATGCTATGGGAGAGTTTGAAGCTATGAGAAGTCAATATCAGAGAGCCTTGTATCAGCTTGTGACGGTCGCCAGCGGAACAGAGATACCGATAATACTGCCAGCAACTTGGCCTATAGTTCAGCCGTCTGGACTTGAATGGTCAAGATACCATAGAGAATTTGAGGAGCTCTACTTCATAGCTGGTGGAGGCTTCGGGAGCGTTTTCAAAGCGCGACACAGACTAGATGGCGTAGAGTATGCCGTCAAAAAAGTATACATTAAATCTTCAGACGTCGACTCTATCATGAGTCATTTGTCGGAAGTCAAAACAATAGCCAGTCTCAATCACCCGAACATAGTAAACTATAAGGCAGCGTGGCTTGAACCCATGATAGAGTCTACAGTTAAAAAGAAAGGCAAATATCAAATGGACACCGACAGTGACGAGTTTTCATTAAGCTCTGACCTCATATCATCAGCACATCCCAACGTAATAAATTCATTCAAGACTCACAACTCCAAGGAGTTGACCAAAAACAAGAGCCTGTCCGACTTCGTTATTTCCTTCAAGAACTCCAACAGCTTCGAGAACTTGAACAGTTCGAACGAAGAACTGCAGGTTTCTGACAGCGATGACGAGTCCGTTTCGCAGGAGGAGAATGCCGTTTGCAATCTCTTTTCCAGTAAGGAGTACGAAAATTGCTCTCGTATAAACCTTAAATGGGCCACCTTGTTCATCCAGATGACGTTCTGTCAGCAAACTTTGAAGCAGTGGCTTGACGAGCGCAACAACCATATGTTACTGTCGCGAAAAGGTTCCGACGATTTCACTCTGCCGTTACATGTGTGTGAATCTCCAATTGAGGCTAAAGATATCGCGTACCCAGCGAGCATTAATCACATTGACCTGCTGATAGACATGTTCACTCAACTGGTGCGTGGTCTTCATTATATACATTCCCGTGGTATTATCCACCACGACATAAAGCCGAGTAATGTATTCGTGGCGCCACATGAAGGTGGCTTGTTGGTGCAGTTGGGTGATTTTGGTCTGGCCTGCCCGTTACAGCAGTCCCATAGTGGATTGGCACTCGGTACACATATGTATGCTGCGCCCGAGCAACTGGACGGGCAGTGCAATCCAAAGGTGAGTTGATCGTACAATAATATTAGTGAGCTGCGGCTATAATAAGAAATAATAAGAAGTCTCTCACTAAATCATAACGGCGCAATTTTGTAGAGTCTCTTAATCTTTTTAATTGTTCTATGATTAAACACGTCTGGAAGGTAGGAATGTTTATATTCAGTTTAAGCAATGAGCACTGATAAAAAATTAATTAGTTGTGATTTTAATTATTTTTAAAATTTAAGTAATGTAATTGAAATTTGTTTTGTTAAATATACACTGCAGTTTAACTTTTAATTATTAATGAAATATGCCATTTTCAAAATCGGTAACATAAAGAAAATAGAGCAGTTGCCTCACAAAAGTTTGTCTTGTCACATGGGACTTCATTCATCCTTCACCAATGTCACCCGTGCTTTTAATAAATTAAGATTTCCATTTTTTCTATGAACAAGTACTGTATCTCTGGATACTTGTTCAATTATACAGCACATTAACGTTAATATCTATCTTCATGCTATGAGTTGAAATTTTAAGTCTTTTGAGGTCTGCTTACCTCCCAGGGCTGCTTACCTCCCAGGGCTGAGTCTGTGCTTGCTTATCTGGTCTGATCATTATCTGACCTTGTATGTAACCCTAATAACGACGAAATGGCCACCGAAAAACACATTTAAAATGATTTTTCTGATCACAGAGCTGGTATATACCGTATTGTACAGGTACTGTTTTATTAATTAACTATTTCTTTTCAATTTTCAGAGCGACATGTACAGTCTGGGTATAATATTACTTGAGTTGGTAGAACCATTTGTGACTGATATGGAAAGAGTGAAAACTATCACCGACCTCCGCAAAGGTCAGATACCAGCTCATCTCACTGCCAACTACCCTAAAATTGCTCATATCATCGGCAAACTGGTGCAAAGGAAGCCCGGCAAGAGACTGGACACAGCCCAGCTGCTGGAGGAACTCAAGACCCTGGCCGAGAATAAAGATGACACGATCAGATCGTTGCGAGAGGAGCTCGCTGCGAAAGATGACGAAATAGCTAAACTCAAGATGATGCTGGCGAACTTGAATTTTAAATCTTGAGTGTGACTGAGTGTGTGTGTGTGACTACTTAATAAATTCTAGTATTAACTTTTTTAATACGCCGTTTTATTTAAAATTAAGATCAAGTAAGTTGTGTTTTTGAAGTCTTTAAATATTTAACGCCTGGTTACTCGTATCGAGCGAAACAATTAAAATATAAAATTATATGGTAGTATATTCTTTTTCAATCACAAGTTTGTGCAAAATCAACATGTATGTATTTATTTAAAAAAGAAATAGCCGAGAAAGGCCTACCTAGTTTAATTCTATGTCGGCCTTGTCTAGAGGATAATACGCTCTGTGTACTCGTCTTGAGAGATGCGACTATAGCTTTTAAATTCTGTTGCCAGATCTATTTCTTACAAAACGCATTCTTTTTAATGTTCAAATTTTTTACACGCGTTTCCAATTGCTAGTGAATTGTTTTTGGTCAATCGCGAGCTGCGTATTTGCAATATTTTATCATTGTTTACATATATTTAAATAAAATTGAATGCTGATAAGCTATCGCCCAACAAGCACTGTAATTATTGTACGGTTCGGTTAAGGTTTGTAAAGTTTTTAAAGAGAAAAGTTTCTTGAATTGATTTTTATCATTTAAAAAACGATCAGAAACAATACAGAAATTGCTATTTATATGGTCGTCTGCGGAGTCAATTAGTGCGATTTAAGGCATATCAATGCAATTAATAGGTTAATTACTTTTACGCATTTAGCAGTGAATTAAATGGATTTGTTTGCCTTATCTTCGACTTTAACTGTCGTAGGTATGTAGTTGATAAGATTATTTATTTTATTTTATCGCAAACTGAAAAAACATTTTCATTAGGCTCGGTCCAGTTCTTTTTATCTGAAGCTCGGAACAATAAACCATAAGTATATATACAAAATAACAATATTTAAATCTTGATATTTAAGTTTGAAACAAAACTTAGTAATTAAATAAACAGCCTAAAAATCATGCATTCCTGTTGTACAGTTTTGTATAAAATTAAAAAAACATAATATAGTGTTTTTTTTATAACTAGTTGGGCAGTCGAGTACATGACTAAGCTCGTATTAAATGTATCGTCCCCATAATTATCACAACGTGAATGCCTCCACTCGCCTTGAGATGTGAGGTTGACGTCTCAAATGCATTTATTAAACAACGGCTGTTCCACCCGTCCAACTCGAAATAGGTAAGTCGTTCACGTGAAACACGACTAGTCCCATGTTCACAAAATACTTATCAAAAGGTACTGATGTTTTTGGTCTTTATTTAACCATATTATGTAAAAAAACACATCTTTTTCAAGTCCAAATTCATTTGGTAACTTTGTAGCTTGTAACTCACATAATGACACTAAAATAGCTACACTAGAAAGAGACACAAACATATAATAAAGGCTTAGGCGCCGAGAGAATGAGAATAGAATAATTCTCGTCTTAATTCTACCTCTTGTAAACTCCACACATATGTTTTTAAAGTTAAATAAATTGTTTATTTAACTTTTTGTTGTAAACATTTATAAAGGAAAAATAAAAATCAAGTATTTAATTAATTAGGTAGTTTATTTACAAAACGCATATAAATTATCATTACATCCTAATTTATATTTACAGTCTTAACAATAATATTAATTTATCGCGGTTCAATGTGTACCGTTCAATGAATATAATGGAATCTGATGAAATAAGCTTCGACTATATGAAAAATGAAACGCCGTAGAGAACGCAGACAACACAATGCTTTCCGTGACTTTTATAATGTGAAAACAACATTTAATTTTAAAATACGTAACTCTGAAGACCTTTAGCAAAATAAAAATAGTATTTTACGTTGAAAAAGTATATGCTAATCTATATAATTTTTAAACTGTATTTTTAGGCGCTTGTGTTGTCTACAGAGAGCGGCGGCATCGTCCTCGAAGAAAACGAATAAACGACTTAAAAACAAAACTGTTGTTGCGAACGTTGTGAGCGACGTGACAGCTGACTCGCGGGGTCATTGACCTCTCGTGTCGCGGGACGAGTGTCGAGCTGCGTCGGTCGGGCGCCCCCCGCGCTCCCCCGCCACCCCCCGCGCGCCCTCGCCCCTACAGCACGTTGTCGATGGCGTGTATGACGCCGTTCGTTGCCGGGATATTGTGCGTCACCACTTGCGCGTTGTTCACTTTAATGCGACCTGCAAAATTAAATACATAATGTGCAATTGTATTTGTGCAGTCCAAGGAAAATCGACTGCTTATCTCTGATTATAGATATATTAAAATGTCTGAAATACTTCAAGAACTTGTGACTGTTCTAGTTCTAGCTGCTGACCAGGTCTTAATCTCATACGAAATGTGCACACAGTGACTCATCTGTGGGTAGGTTTTTTTTTGCTTACATGCGTGGACGAGCTCACAGCCCACCTGGTGTTAAGTCGTTACTGGAGCCCATAGACATCTACAACGTAAATGCGCCACCCACCTTGAGATGTAAATTCTAAGGTCTCAGGATAGTTACAGCGGCTGCCCCAACCTTCAAACGGAAACGCATTCACGGCAGAAATAGGCAGGGTGGTGGTACACCTACTCGTACGGACCCACAAGAGGTCCTACTACCAGTAATACACACAGTGACACATCAGGGCGGGCTGCGGAGTGCAGTCTCCTATCTTACCAGAGTTTTTCTGCAGCGTGAGGGGCTTAGCGTCTTCCATAGAGTTGCGCAGCTGGTAGTAGCGCATGCCGGCGCTGTAGAGCGTGCCGGGCAGCACGTGGCGCGCCACCAGCTCGTGCGCCCGCGCGCGCTCCGTGAGCTGGGCCAGCTCGGCGGGGGGCAGGCGCGCGAACGCCGCGTCCGTCGGCGCGAATACCGTGTATGTTTTGCTTTCTGAAGTAAATGCGGAGATTTAGCTAGGGCGGGTTTTGTGTACAGTTGTTACAACAAATGCACGTGCTGTGTGCGGTGCTTGCGGGTTCACGGACGGCACGTGTATGTAACCACCATGAGGCATGTGACATAATGCATTGTCGAGAACCATGCGAGCTAGAGGGACCATGCGGACTTGCGCCACGCCGTCATCGTGTAATGACTTTTGCAAGCGTCGTTATTAAAGTTCTGTATTGTATGACATTTCACCCAAAATTTACAAGAAAACTCTGTTTTTGACTTAACATCAAAGTTATACTGTTGGGCCAGTTCAATGCTAGAATCAGACACTGGCTCGGTCTCCCAATTAAACTCTCATCATTTTGACCTCATGCTCTAACTGTATTTCCTTTGAATTTCGTACAATATCATCTACTGGTTCTGGTTTCTGTAGTCTGTAGGATTAAGAAAGTGAAGGAACAGTTGGACACCCACCGGCCAGCGTGTCGATGAAGCCGCTGGCCTGGAGCGCTTTCAGGAAGGTGGTGAACCTGCGGTCGCGGTCCGCCTGCAGGGTCTGCACAAGGTCCCCGACGGGTAGCGGGAACATAACCCTGTCTACCGCGTGAGCAATGCCCTGCAATTTTAAACGACGAACTGAAGAACTGAACTTTTTTTTTGCCTAGATAGGTGAACAAGCTCACAGCCCACCTGGTGTTATCTGCTACCTGACCCCATAGACATATATCTATAATGCGCCACCCACCTTGAGATATAAGTTCTAAGGTCTCAGTATACTTACAACGGCTGCCCCGCACTTCAAACCGAAACGCATTACTGCTTCAGGGCAGAAATAGGCAGGATGGTGGTACCTAGCCGTGCGGAATCACAAGAGGTCCTACCACCAGTAATTCTTTCACCATTAAAACCTGCTTACATTCGATATAGATCATTTAATCTCTTTGTCATTATTACTAACCATAAAATTTACGAACATTAATCAATCAAAAGGAATCTAATAAAGTCAAAGTTTTCTCTATGTGGTATTTCCGGTATTTCAGAGTATTTGTTGTTTATGTGATTTTGTTGTTTTTTATTTATTTGTTTGTATAACAATAACAACTATTTTCGCTATAGCATATTCAGCTGATTTCTTCTATGTAATTAATACCTTACAGACCGATTTTCCGATGTTTTATATTGGCGGACATTTCGTTGGCACAACCAATTACGGAGTTGGCACAAGTGTCACTGCAACATCTCCAAACAGCTCTCATAATAAAAGTTCACCTGTGGGATATGGATGTCCTTTTTGTCCTCCAGCACCCTGGCGCCGTTGATGGTGGTGACCTTTACTTCATTCCACTCGACGTCGTGCATATCGTATTGGTTGACTCTGAGTTGGGTGCCGGCGAGGGAGACACCGGTCATCTCATCCTGCAGGGATCCGATGTCGAAAGCTCCTGGGATGACGTGGTGGAGAAGCAGCTGTGGGTCAAGTTAGTATTTGTGGTTAGTTTTTGATATTGAAGATTTACAAGGAACTGGTAAAACCAAATGAAACTTACACCACTCAGTAACCGTGGATTGTCCTTGAACTTCTCTTCAGCTTTGTCAGGTCCGCCGAGCTGAACTAACAACGTCCTAAACGCCTTGTCGGTCGGGGCGAAGATCGTGTATGGTCCGGTTTCATTCAAGATACTATCTAAACCCGATTGTTTCAGATACTTCGCAGTCGCAAATAGTCCGTTCTCTTTCAAAATTTCCACAAGACCTGGGTTTGCTTCTCTATCATTAAAATGTGGAGTTGGTTCGCTATAAGTAGTAGGGGCTGTACTAGATCCAATGATAACCAAGTCTTTGGGTGTTGTCCTATAGGTCGGGGTCGAGTTGATGATAGTTGAGAAAGTGGAACTAGGATATGTGATCCTTGGAGCATGGCTGATGCTGTTTCTGCTCGACGAGTATTCATATGATGGAGAACTCGATTTGGCTGCATGTCTTTCTGTAGTGGAGACTGCTACAGTCGGGGGTACGTAGGGTTGCGTCTGCTGCGATGTAGTTCTTGTTGATTGAGAACGGTGACTCTGGTAGGTGGGTGTTGGAGTTGTATAGATGGGACTGGTCAGTCCGCTTGTCCCGTGACTAGATGCTGTTACATAGCTCGAGTAGCTCGAAGGTAGGTGTGATGAGGCCGCTACGTAGTCATTGGATTCAGTCGACGGTCTAGATGTAGTTGTAGTTGTAGTTGTACTACCTACGAATAAGCTATTGGAAATTTTAGTCGGTCCTGGTAATTGTATTTCGCCCCTCTTAATCTTATTTAAAATATTTTCGACTTCAGGACCTTCTTCAGTCTGTTGACCGTTCGCTTTCACTCCTTTAACCTTATATGATCCATCGTCTTGTTCTTCGAGGAAAACAAACGTTACTTTCTTTTTGTTTTGCAAATCAGTTGGTATTTTGGAAACCTCTTCGAGTTTGCCGTTCTCTGCCTGTTTGACGAGTTCAAAATTCGCTCCTGGAGGTAAAACGCCTTTTGTCAGATCTTCAAAGGTGTTTCGATTGTCTTTTTGTAATTCACGGACTGCGGACGATATGTGCGCTAAATTTGAACTTTCTGCCGTGATCGCTCCCTTCGGAATAAGATTAGGGTTCGTCGTCCTGATGACTTCAAACTTCTGTCCGTTCAGATTGATTTCTCGAGATGTGAAGTTCTTGCCATTAAAATCCTCAGGATTTTCGGCCAAGGCTACTTTAAGTTGCTTCAGAATGTCTGGTTTCTGTAGTAGCTCAGCACTTTTAGCTCTCAGATTGTCATCAAATCCTTTGGTTTCGCTTTCCTCTAGTAGATTTTTGATTTCGTTGTACAATTTTTGTTTGTTTCTGTCCTGAGGCGGATGTCTGGTTCTGGATTTCGGTCTCGCTGTGTACCTGCGCGTCGGTGGTGCCGGCGTTGTGGTCGTGGTAGTCGTTGTGGTCGATGTCGTTGTAGTCGGATGATCTTTTTCGTACATTTCGACAGCTTTCCTGAATAAATCCGTCTCGTGAGGCTGAATGGGTCTGCTGCTAGTCTTTTCTACCTGCCTGTTGGTATAGTAATCGTAGCTTTCCGTCGTGGGTATTGTCGGAACGGTTTTAGTAGCTTGTTTACTAACAAATTCTTCGTGTAGTTTCTGAACTTGTACCTGTTGTTTCTGTTGTTGCTTTTCAACAAACTCCTGATGTTTCTGAATGATACGTGCTCTTTCTTGAAGTTCTTTCAATTTCTCTAAATTTTCTTTCGATTGTTGCTCTAGGATACTTTGTATTTGTTCGTTTGAATACACAGGTGCTTGTTGATTTATCGTTGATTGGAAGGGTATTTGACCATTATTAAGATTTAGGGGATTCTGAGGAGCTAGATTTGGGGCCGGTTGGATAGTAATGGGATTGGGTCTGTTGAAAATAGGTTGACTTTGAGCTGCTGCTACGGTTGGCAGGAAAGCAGCGGTAGGATTTTGCTGTCCGATGTTTACGGGCTGTGGTGGATTGGGATTAAAAACAGGTGGATTTTGTGATGTGGGTATGTTTTGATAGGTGGGTAAGGTGGGGGCGGCTTGCGGTAAAATGTTCTGTGTCTGTTGTGATAGCTGTCTAATGTTCTGTTGGTAGTTGTTCTGCAGCAGTGCAGGGTTAGCGCTCTGGGATGGACTAAATTGGAAAGCATTGCTAGGCAATTGCAAAGTGCCTTGACCGCCAACATTAGGAATGTTTTGAATCGGTAAGTTCTGCGATGGAATGTTCTGTGTTAGAAGACCGTTGAATTGCGGAACATATGGCTGTTGGAGTTGCGGGTAAGGTTGCTGCTGGTACTGCAGTGTCGGCGCGGGACTGGTCAGTAGACCTGCTTGCTGGAAGCTCTGCAGAGGTGAGTTCAGGCCGAACCTCGTTTGGTGCTCATTGAAGCCAGGGTGTTGTGCAGGTGGCTGTCTTCTTACTTCGAAATCATTTTCTATCTGTAAATAGAAAAGAAAGCTTAAGGTTACTCAATACGTCATTTACTTAAAAATATAACTAGTTCCGTCCCTGGCCTAATGCATATGTAACTTTAATATGAAACTGGACACGGATACTTGTATTTTCAGATTTCCTAAAAACAACTTACATATTTTGAATCTATCGTAATCACGACTATTAGGTTTATGACGTGACGAACAGCTTGGGTTATTATTACGTCAATAGCTTGCTCATCTACAAGCGTATAATAATAATGAAACAGTTCAGAGATTGGTTAAACGATTTCAAAATGAGCGGGAAAAATTACTGCCTTTAGAGTTTATTCGTTTTATTCGCGAATTTAGTTGGGGTTGTGCCCCACTTTTGAGCCCAGTTATACAGGAAGTAATCCTAAATAGAGCTCCAAATGAGTGTAAATACATCTGTCGGCATATATCCTTATTCTTATTGTTAATAGATAATAAATTAAATTCACAGTTAATAAGTGCAATGTTGTAATATGATAGGTATATATTGTACATAGTTGTGTTACTACATTACTTACTAAATATTTAGCACGATAAAGTCAACAGTATTATACAATGTAATATCTTAAAACAGCATTTCACAAAAAGAAAACCAATTACATGTGTTATAAAGTTCTGTTAAAAGTGAAAAAAGTGCTAATTTGAAGAATCAAGTGCTAATATTTGCTGTTATTTTAAAGACAATATATTGAAATGTAGTTCTTAAGGTAATAGAGTTCGAAATCATTTTTGAATATCTATCTACGATTCCACATGCGGAAAAATCCAAAGATGAAAATTTAAATTTATATGATGGTAGATAAAAACTAATAATTTGCTTAATGTTATGTAACTTATGAAATAGCTTCAGAAGAATCTAATTAGTTTTCATGTAATGCAATTAATAAAAGTATTGTTATGAACAATAATTAAATAGCATTGAATTAGTTCATGTGTTATAATATTCGATACGATTTTTCATATATATTTTTAGATCACATAATAATACTATAGCATAAGTAATATGCAGCTAATATGGTCTCTGGAAACAGAACTGCAAGTTAGGTATAATACTCGGCAAACTTCTTGAGCATTAGTTGACGTAGTGGGGGTAAGTTCGCGCATCGTACAATTACGTACAAAAATGTTATTAAGTTATTAAAAACAACATAATATGTATTTATTTATATATTTATTAGTACATGAACAAAAAATACAGGTTAATAATTGTAGTAATTTAATCTAGGGGTAAAATAGATATTCCTTCCATTAGGTCAAAACTAGAGCTGGTGCCAGGTCTTGGATCAGCTGAAGCTGAGCTGGTATTTGTAATTGTTTTTTCGCTATCATAATCATGACCATCATCATCATCACTACTTTCTTCATCCGTGTCGCAATCATCGTCAGCAAAAATTACAAACTCATCAGTGACTAAATCTACCACATGATCACTTTTTACATACTCCGCCTCAATCTCTTTTATCTTTTGACATAATCTACCCCATTCCGGAGCACCCATCGCCGCGACCTTTTCCTTCACTAGCTCTATTACTTTGCCAGTGCTCCAGTTGACATTTTTGCTACTGACATACCCTTTAATAGCTGCCCAAGCCATTTCAATTGGGTTGTTATGTGATAATTATGAATACATCTTTTTATTGCAGATTGGTCGAAACTATCAATTCCGGTAACTTTCTTCTTCCCTGATCTTTTTTTACCTGGAGTACGAAACACGGCGAGCAAGTTAGAGCCCTTCGCTTCATTAATAATACGCCTAACAGTACTGACTGATGTTTTTGTTGCCTCTGAAGTCTCTTTTACCGTTTCCATATCATTATTTCCCTGCTTTTTAAGAAAGCAATATACGTCGTACACCATTTTTCTAGCTTGTCTTTTTAATACTACACCAGTTTGACGTGGCATAGTATATTTTTTATAAAAAATCAAGAAACACTCAACAAATAGCAATAACAACAAAATCAACAAACAATAATAATTATAACAAATAACTTCAACGATTAATATTAATAGACTTTTCACTGTACGCAAGCGTACTTTTGGGAGCAAGCGGAATGAGGGCGCGGTGCGGGACGCAAGGTTCGACTGATCTACCAGATTCTACCAATAACGCGCTCGATACGATTTCCCCTGCCGTCGCGCCTCACCCTCACCACCAAAGTGATCTAAAATTCGGTTCTGCGCAGTCAAGGTCATTTGCTCACGAAGTTTGCCGGTTACTATACTGATAGTAGGTCGTGTTGTTAGCCCGCTCACGTTGATACTATCATCCTGACACTATCCATATAGCAGCTACTATTGCACAACACTGTCTTATATTAATGAGCTTTAATAGGGTCTGTTTTATTTATATCAATTCATAACAGTTAAGCCATTATGATGCAATTGAGATATCGCAAAGTCGACCGCAGTATTCTGCTTGAAATTAGGAGTGACCACTTAATGCATCTGTCCATCTATTTGAATAATATGTAACTTCGAAGTAAAAAATGTATGTCGTAGGCCGTAGGTCTGGTCCGTGAGTTCAAAGCCGCTCAGCGTGCTATAAAAAGTGTGTGCTCGGAGTTTCTTTGATGGATCCAGTCAGAAATGAGGAAATCCGTCGAAGAATCAAAGTAAAATAGCCCTAAAGATTAGCAGCCTAGATGGGCAATGGGTCGGACATACGTGTCGCAGACCCAAAGGCCGATGGAGCAGACGGGCTCTGGACCGGATATCGCGTACCGGTGAGCGCAGCGTAGGGCGTCTCGCTGGACCAGGACTTGGCTGGATCTGGACCGATGACATGCAGCGATATATTGGAAAATATTGGATGCGGAAGGTGGAGAACTGTCCATTGTAGTGGACTATGGGAGAGGCTTACATCCAACAATGGAGAGATACAGGCTGATGATGTTGATGATGATGAAGTGAAAAATGTACGATATAACAGAAAGTTTACCATTAAAGTTTTTGACACAAAGTCCCTTTAAGGAAACGACAAAACATAAAGTAATTAACGGATCGTGTCGCTATCGTATCGTGAGTTATAAACACTGTATCATCTCCCACATCGTGACGCATCGTTGGAATGAAAGCGCATTCTTGATACGTGAGCCTATTGACGCGGTCTTGCACTGTTTCGCAACTGCAGGAGACAGTGGAATTGAGCAATGTATTTATTTACTTGAAAGTTTGTACATAACGTTGTGTATTTTGTTTGTGTTGTGTTTTGCAAGCTATAACTATTTTATAAGAGAACATAATGACTTACTGTTTTATTGGCGCTGTGACTCTTAATTGTCTTACGTATGGGTATACAACTATTTCTGTTGTAATATATGTAGGATTGGTCAGAACGGAACTTATGAAAAGAGTGTGGGACGGAGCGTTAAGATGTGAGTGAGAGAAAACGGTAAGAAAGGGAAGAGGGAATGACAGACAGAATGACAGAGAAAAGGAAGATGGTGAAGATGATTGAATGAGCAAGGCATAAAAAAGGTGTCAAATATTTTTTAATTATTATAATACAGAAAATTAGGGAAAAAATGCAAAAAAGGAATAATTTTATTTTATGTGCCACAATCCTAATTCTACATAATTATATTATTATTTATTATTTTTAGTGGTATTATTATTAGTGGGGCAGCCGTTGTAACTATTCTGAGACCTTATAACTCATATATCAAGATGGGTGGCAGCATTTACATTGTAGATATTTATGGGCTCCAGTAACCACTTACACCAGGTGGGCTGTGAGCTCGTCCATCCATCTAAGCAATAAATACATATATTTAAAGCAAGTTGTATGTATTTGTATAATAAGTTTTATTATTAAACCATAAAAGTGTCAATTTGACGTTATGATGAGCCAAGGATAAAATCTGCGATTCATATCGAAAACAACGGCGCAAATCTTTACGAACAGCTAATATTTTGCTAAGGCAATACTTGCTTAACCCATGTTCACGAACGACTTCCCCGTTATAGTAGGTAGATTGTGTAATAAAAATAAATTGGAATAAAATTAAAAATTTGCTTAATGAAACAATTTGTTTTAATTCAATCGACATCCCTTTTAGATATTTATTAGATTGGTTTTATTTATGGTCTCCGATTGCCTAACCCCGCTAATTCGACTACTTCCTTCAGGATTCCCTCTAGCTCGATATACGACCTTTCCTGATTTTTTTATTGCTTAGATGGGTCGTCCACCCATCTCACAGCCCACCTCGTGTTAAGTGGTTACTGGAGCCCATAGACACCTACGACGTAAATGCGCTACCCACCTTGATATAAGTTCTAAGGTTTCAAGTATAGTTATAGCGGCTGACCCACCCCTCAAACCGAAACGCATTACTTCTTCACGGCAGAAATAGGCAGGGTGGTGGTACTTACCCTTACGGACTCACAAGAGGTGCCGTGAAGCAGTAATGCGTTTCGGTCTGAAGGGTGGGGCAGCCATTGTAACTATACTGAGATCTTAGAACTTATATCTCAAGGTGGGTGGCGCATTTATGTTGCATATATCTATGGGCTCCAGTAACCACTTAACACCAGGTGGGCTGTGAGCTCATCCACCCATTTAATCAATAAAAAAAAGGTCCTACCACCAGTTTCCACAACTGTTCCTTATCTAATACCGAAAAATTTCCATTGGACGCGTAGTTTAAATAATGATTCGTAACCGACTCCCGTATCTCGGTTTTAAATAAAACATCTATGACAATTCTGACGAAAGCAAAACTTTCTACGTTTTGTGGAAACTCTGTTGTTTAGTATGCGCACCTTGGCTCATTACTCATTCCTCGAGGAGGCGTACAGTGAAAATGGATGGAGTTTTAATTGCGTCTGTCTTGTTCGAACTCGCGCGTATCCGAATTGTTTAATATCAATGTTATTGAGACTTCGAGATCAGTCTAGAATTCATGTTGAGGTGAGGCGTGAACTTGTAGTCAAATCTACAACAATAAATGGTACAGCGATTTCGTCTTTTTCATCTAATTTCTATTCAACCATTTTGGTGCTGAGCTTATTTTCACTTAGATATAAAGAAGAAAGGAGTAATTTTTGAAAAAAAAGAAAACTTAAAAAAAATTACAAAAATCAATGATAAATTCACAGCAAAATAATTTATATTCAACCATTTTAGGGCTGAGCTTATTTTCACTTAGATATAAAGTAGAAAAGAGTAATTTTTGAAAAAAAAAAACTTAAAAAAAATACAAAAATCAATGATAAATTCACAGCAAAATAATTTTAAATGGTTATTTATAAATATTATGAAATTAAACGTGCGCGCTCTAAGACATATCCGTGCAGGTCGATACCTAATACCTATAATCAAACTGCGCCATAATCGGTATTCCGACGATTAATAGAGAGTCGATATATCGACGGTTAACGTTGAAAAAGGCGGTAAAATCTGTAAAATTCGGTCGTATCAATCACGGGTCAACGAACGACCTCACAACGGAGTGGCGTACGAAGCGGAAAGTTGTCTAAAACCGGTCTCAGTTCCTACCGGTGAAAGTGACATGTTACAGACGAAGCTCGTGTTACTGTTGTTACGTGATGTATAAGATCACACCTGTTTAGTTAATTTATTTATTTAAAAAAAAAAACCACGTAAACATTATTTCAACTCAGAAACAATATTTAAACGCCAAAATGGCAATTGAAATATATACTACTTAGCCCACTGAATTTCTCACCGGATCTTCGAATTCGACTTAGTAAGTCACGATTTTGATCCCGTGGTAGATTCTGCGAAGCACTGTTTTTGCTAGGACTAGTGTTAGCAAAGACTCGCAGGTTGAGCGCGTGACCTACCCGCCCGGTCGTAGCTGGAATAGCTTAGGCTACCAGCGAATAGGTAGGAAAACATTCAGAATCAGAACATACAGAAAAAATATGAAATATTAGATATAGAATAGGTCTGCACAGCACTTCTGATCAATCATGATAAAATTTCAATACTACAGCAAGAAATCGGAATTTTCATTATAGTGTTTCAAGCGTTAGTATCGATGTAGTCTCCGTGTGCATATAATTGAAACGTGATGAATAGCTTGGTATATTTTTGGGTCAAAATGAGAGCCGTCCCGTTTGTTAAGTAGATCTATAGGTTCTAGATCACATAACGCATGTGCCTTTATTACATTGAGGTATCAATCGTGTTACGTAATGGAGCAATTACACCGGAACACATAAGTATTTCGCGTCTGGAATAGGCAGTATGATGATGATTATCTGTGCCGAGTTGACCATAAACCACTCCTGATACTAGACATCGTAATTCATATTTTATAAGCAACCAATCGAATCTAAAGCTTAGTTTAGATAAGGTTGATGTGTTCAAAATGTATTACTTAATATCCTAATTATAAACAAACATACAAAAATACATTACAGTTATAAAAGATAAAATATTTGTCGTGTCTCTACAACAATGTCCAGTTTTAAAAAAACACTAAATCCTCAAGTAATTTTGCTTTGCGTAAAATTGTTTATTGAGATTGCAAAACAGAGATGACCATTTATAAAAATTACGACAGGATTGTTGATGAATTTATTCCATCGTTGCGCGGTCTATTACGGTGTCTATGATAAATAATT